GAAAACACCAGTGACCTCACTTTCCCAGATTCCCAGAAGGAAGGGCACCTGGCGCGCAGTCTCTACTCCTACGGAGAGGGAGGTGAAAGTTCTCCCAGCCTCCATTCACACCTTCATTTTATACCCATTAGGCCTGCCTTGCCCTCTTAGTAGACTCACAGGAGAGCAGGAGCCAGGTGAGGACTTTCTGTTCCTAGGATGACTGGAGTCAGGAAATCAGTCTGGGCCCCTGCTGCCCCCGGGGAGCGCACAGAACACAGGCAGGTGTGAGGGGCCTGGGCCTGCGCAGGGTGGGGCTCTAAACCCAAAGTCCAGGGGAAGGGAGATGAGTTGGGCAAACAGCAATTCTGTGCGCTGAAGACTGGCGGCTGCTGTGGGCTACGGCCTCCGACCTGTGAGCATGTCAGGGCCTAATAATGGTCTTCAGGTAAATGGCCTAATGATCAGCAGACCAGGGGGACAATGGCGGAGGTTGGGGGACAGCACCCCCTATCACGAGGTCTTGACCGGGCCATGTTAATCTTTTTAATGGTAAAGATTATAACATTAAATAAAACGTTTACAAGAGAAACAAGAAATCGTAGACCCTTACTGCTTTAACACAAATGTTTTCCTGATCTCTTCCTTCACTGACTTTAGACCGACAATTTAGTGTCTGCTCTTTTTACTTAACATTATCCCAAACAGCAGCAATGTGAAAGTTATGATGAGGAGAACAGGGGCATTTGAAGTGGAGCAGTATCTCTGCAGGGTCCTTGCCTGGAACCGCCACAGGCTTCTGGGTAACAGAGGTGAGGGGCCTCCTTTGGTGGGTGCAGGCGGCGGAGCCTTAGTTCATGTCTCTAGCTGGAGCCCTGGGCTTGGCTAGGTTGGGCTGTGAGAAAATTCCAGGAGAATTCTGCTGGTAGAAGATGCCCACCCTGTCCCTACAGAAACAGCACAACGCAGGGCTGGTCTATGTACAACCACGTACCCAAAGGAACACGGTCAAGGGACTGAAGGTCGGTGTTTAAGGACCACGTTTTACTCTGATTCCTCTCTGCCCTGCTTTCCCCAAGCTTCTGTATCCACCATACTGGAAGCTTTCTGAAAGAAATGCCTGGGATCTCGCCATTGTCCTCCCAGCCCAGGATCAGGCAAAAGAACTTAACAAATAATGGCCAAGGAAATCCTCGTCTAAAATGTCTGCTGTCCCCTACTGCCCCAGCCCCTGGGCTACATTGTTACTTCTGCACATGAAACCACCAGGGGGCAGGCTGGGTTCACAGTGAGACATTTCCTCCCAGAGAAAATTGGTCACATGTGCAAAGACCCCCTTTCAGAGCCACATGCCCACCTCCTTGCGCTCCAGGGGCTTTGTTCTCATGGCCTCAGCTGTGCCATTGGCCGAAAGTGGGTTAGAGGAGGGGTGGAAGATGCCTGCATTATTTCAGAGTTGGCTAGGCCCTGTGTCCTTCAAATTCAACACCTACCACAGTGCCCAGACCACACCGCATTCAAGAGTATTTAAATAACGGCCGGATGAAAGCGAAGTGGTAAGAAACGCAAAGGAGAGCAGCTGTAGGGGCGGGAGCCGTGCATGGGGCAGAGGCTGTTCTGTGACCACATCAGGTCTGGAGCCCTCACACTGCCCGGAACTCCTGCAGGCCCTACGATGCCTCCTTCCATACGCAGAGCCTTGGAGTGGTAAAACAGATGTTCAGTGAGCGGGCTGAGAATGAGGGCAGGTGTCTGGAACGCGTTCAGGGGCGGGAGAGGAGTGACATAACTCACAGGTACGCGGAGCAGAACTCAGGCTACAAAGGCCACAGGTTTCATCCCGGGCCCGCAACTGGGATCCAGGGGCAGATACTAAACCCAACGTGGCAGGCCCTGCTGAGCTCACTCACTCTCTCCAGCAGAAGACCAGTCCTGGCCGCTCTCTTACCCTCAGGCCATTCACATACTTTTGTGTTTCTACACAGGTAGTCCATATTTATTATAAAAAGATGCCACATCACTCTTTATTGGACGCCAGTGTCAGCACCAGCCCCCTTCTTTCCGGGCACAGGGGCACGTGGCAAGGGGCTCCGTCCCCTGGCCAGGATGCAGTGAAAGCCTGTCCCCACCACCTCTCCTTGGGCCAGCACCCTCCTCGGTGCCTGGAGCAGCTGGCTCAGGTCTGTTCAAACTCCTGCTCACAGTAGCCTACGTTGAGGGGCTGGGCCTGGACACCTCGCCTGCAAGAGGACAGGGAGAAATGGCAAGGTGAGCCCGTCAAAGGGGGCCAGTCTTAGGCCCTAGCTACATCTCCACCGCAGTCAACAGTCTCCTCTTCCCCATTTCAGTGACACTCAAACTGTCACTGTTCCCCGAAAGTATGTGGCGATCTCACTTCCAGAGAGTCTCACTTGGGGTCGGGCAAAGCGTTGGGAAGAATCTGTAATTTGAATAGGTGCCCTAAGTGATTTTGACACAGAGAGACCCAGGAACTTTGGGGAATATCCCCTATTTCTATCCTGCCTGTCTCTGTACCCTAGCA